CCAATAAAGACAGCTTAGTTGCTAATTTTAAAGTAAAGTTTGCTAATTTTACATAGAAAACTGATGTAAAAAAATTATCCCATGGGTTGATAGCTCGTCCTGCTTCATATTTGATATGATCAAGTTTTAAATCTCTTTTTAGTTAGAATGACTGGAGAAAGTCTGTTCTGATCATAATCTAAATGACCTAACCCCAAAAGACAATAATTGAATGTGTGCATGAAGAGTCATCTTGTATTGTTCAGTTACACAAGGAATTATATAGTTGGCATTGAAGCTTCTAAGAGAGAAAGAAAAATCTATTTGGCTGAACTTGAAATCTCATGCAAAAGAAAAATTAAAATTGCCAAATGTATAATTAACACAAAAATAGAAGAAAAAAAGAGAAGAAAGCAAAGAGGAGGAAAAATGAAATAAATGTAAAGTATTTTTTCTAATGTGACAAAATATTGATCATCTCAGGCAAATTTTATCTTTTATTTTTTTGCCAAATTGACTAAATTAGTGGGCCAAATGAATGCCCTGGATGTAATGTACCAAGAGTTTTGTAAGACTTTTAATAAAGTTGGCTAAAGTCTCCTTATTGGAAAGATTGAACAATAGAGGATGGCTGAGTCCATGACCAGATGAATTTATAGATGATTAACTTAAAGATAGGTTCTAGGTACAAAAAAAAATCTTGATAAATTTGAAATTAGGTCCTATCCTTCAAATGGTGTTCAATGGTAATAAATATAAAATTCTACAATTAGTAGAATATATATATTCTAAGGATCCTGAAAATAACTGAATTAGCCCTAATCAGAAATGAACTCCACGGGAAAAGATTCCTACTAGACCAAACCAACCGGGACCTACTCACTCCTCACCTCAAACTCAGCAACAAAATGCACCCAGCACTCTAGGACAAATCCAAACAACTAGCCCTCTGGAAAGCCAAAACAAAAACATCCTACAAGAAAGACAAACACACCAACAAACCCCACAGACTAGAAAAAAAAACAGAAGCCCAACCTCCCTCCACAGCAATTCATGAAACAAATAGTACACAACATATCAGACAGAACCCTCACCACAGCTGAAACCAATGTCCTTTCCAGAGGATTCAACTTTACAGTCGCCCCTAAATGCATCCCTACTGAAGACATATGGTGAGTTGAAGCTACACTCACCAGAATCAACCCAGATGAAGCCAATAAAATGAGACTCGCAGTCACCAACATCTTTTTTTCCAGTAATCCACCCAGAAGCAACTTACAACAAGAAGAAGAAAAAACACTCACCAACCTGAGGAAAGACAACAACATAATCATTCTCCCAGCAGACAAAGGTAATGCCACAGTGGTGATGAACATGTCTAACTACCAAGCCAAACTATCCAACCTACTCCAAGGCCCCGCTTACAAATCTCTAAACACAGACCCCACCACTTACCTGGAAAAAACCACCAAATCAAAAATAAAAGCCTCTCTCATCAGTGAAGAGATCCAGCAAAGAATCATCCCCAGAGAGAAATCTTCCAGATGCCCCAAACTCTATGGCCTCCCCAAGATACACAAAGAAGGAACACCACTCAGACCCATAGACCCTGTAGCTCACCTCTACAGAATTTTGCCAAATTCCTCACCAAACAACTCCAATCCTATGCAGAATCCATCACCTCACATGTACAAAACTCACTCCACTTCATACAAACAATAAAGAAACAAAACCTACAACCCAGCGACCTACTCATCGATGTCATATCCCTCTTCACCCAAGTGCCTATAAAAGAAGACTTCACAACTATCCAGAGCAAACGCAACCCCCCATAACATATCCTGGAC